GAATGCCTTATGTTTTGAGGTAGAATTTACAACCCATGTCAGTCGTAGCGCATGGCCTCCTGTTTCCTTCCCATAGAGTGGTGCTCAGTTATCGACCACAGAAGAAAGAAGGGCGAATGACCTTGACCAGGGATTAAACTCGGGACCTGTCGGTTCTGAGTTCGACACTCTACCGACTGAGCAACCATGGTCTTAAACAATATATAGTAAATTCTTTCTTCAAGGGAACTCGTGAATATGACAAAGATTGTCTTCGATCGTAATCGATGTCCCAAGCTGATCTCTTGGACAACTGTGCCATACTCCACTTGTTTCAAAACCCACATAATAAACTGCAACTCCAAACTTTTCATTCGTTGCGAGTAAGCATTGAACAGTCAATTAAATTTACATTCATCAAGCCACAGGCAGTTGATGAATATTTTTTTCTTCGATAAAATGTTGTTGTCGTCGTGGTCATCAGAGTCAAAGACCGAGTACCCAGATTAATGGTATTTTACGTTTTGGCTTCTTAGAGTGATTTGAGCGATGTTGGATGCTGCGGCAAAAGTAATATTCCTCGTCGCAAGCAAGTTCGCCTCTAGCAGCCAGTTGCTTCAGGGTGCGGTGCTGGCCTGCAACGAGCCTGCAGCCATTTTTTGCTTCCCAGACAAAAGTAATTTCTCATAAGTTTTCACTCTCTCTCAGAATGGTTCTGTGAAACCAAGACAGAGCCTGGCCCGCATTTCCTGAGACAGTCGGTCATTTCCAAGATCTTCTTACTTTTCATTCAGTGGAACCATCGCACTTAAAGAACATACCTCATAGAGCACTGGTAAAAAGTGTCCAACATCTTTTCATAGCGCTTTAACAGGGGTTCATGTTTAAAGGCTGTATATCAGGATTGAGAAGACAATGGCTTTCAGTACGGTGACTGACTTTCGTTGCTGTCCAGAGTTCATTGATGAGAGTCTTAAGCGATGCTCTACTCCCACATCGCAACTTACACCTCTTACGCAGGTATTTAAATTTTTCCACATCCTCGATGGTCGTTCCACTCTGTTGAATCTTTCGATCGTGGTCGGTCGGTCGGTCGGCCGTTTATCGTTTCATGTTGGTTGAACCATTAACCGTTGTTTTGCCTTTTTTGAAGGCATTCGAAAGACGCCAAAACCATCGCAGTTGTAGCTGTTCAATCTGTAGTAGCTGTGGCTGTATTTTAAGGCTCTCTCAGATGATACCTGAGCTGCGGACCATATGGAAACGCGTAAACCATCGATTCCCCTCAGGAAACCAATTTCTGCCTCTTGTGCCGAGGATCGCAGTTTTTCAGTCATGGCCAATGATTCACAACGTAATCATATGAAAATGGTTAGATTTTTATATGGAATGAAAATGAGAAGTTGATACAGATGCCTACTTCTTGAGACTCAGTTCTGTGTTTGTCACAGCCATTAGAGATAATACACAGGGCAGGCTACCAGAAGCAGGGCGCATCTCGTTTTTCACTGTGCTTAGATGGTGCTGTCCCTATAGATGATGTTGTCCAAATACTGTAAACGCCCGTTACAACTTTTTTCACCCTGAAGCAAATTCGTTTATACCGCGGGTCTAGACTTTAACTCGATTCATTTGTTTCTAAACAAACTGGGTCGAGTTTTACTATGTATTTTCTCTAAAATCAAATTCGATCGAAATTTTACTAGTAGTTATTTTGTGCCTAAACAACTTGGTTCGAATTTGCTGCGATGGGCTGCTGGCAGCAGTAGTGTAAATAAATTACTGGATCTTGGCATTCCATGCGACTTTGTAAGCAGATTCCTTTGATTGTCTCATATTTGATGCGTGTGACGTTTCCAATGCTGTTGCTGGAAAAATGGGGGTAAAATGGGACCTGCGGGATTGGATTTATGACGATGATGAAGGCTTCCGTATCGCTTTTTATAAGGACGACGAAGAAACTGTAGTCGAAGTCAAGAGCCACGAAACAGCAAAAGAAAACCATTTTTCAAATGGTGACTTTGACAATGACGAGGCGAGTGAGTTTCAGACCTCAAAACTTAGCGGGGTAATCAATAACATTAGTGAAGTGATGAATCACATGGAAAGACAAAATGATTGTGATAATCCTTTTTTGTCGCTTTTACAAAATATTAAGATGTATGTGACGAAGAAATGCCGTTAGCAGCACGTCAAAAAACAATAGCGGACTATTTTAAAAACAAAGATTAAATAAGGTATGAATTTTATTTGTTATTTTTGCACGTATTTTGCAATTAAATCTGCAATTAAAAACAAGTATTTATACCTTCACGTATTTATACCCTCACATTGTTCCTTGCCTTCGCTGGGGGCCGAGGCTTTGTTTTTTTCCTGAATTCATCGTTACCAACAGTCGCTATCGCAGAGGGTCAGAGGCAGCGGAATCATCAAAGAAAGACATTCGCTACACAGGCGGATAAAAGAGGCATTAATCATCCAGTCCTGCAAAAACATCAACCGTGACAAAGGCTACGAACACTGCGCCGATTGCACGAGCTTCGCTGTCCCCGTCACACAAAAAACTATTTAACCAGCAACAACGACCGAAAGCCCGACTTCTCGTTCAGAAACTGTCGACTGCTGCGGATGACCAGTCACATTCACGAAACTTCGCCACCAACTTACCTTGAAGAAGACCCGTTAGACACGGGCCGAAACATCGGTATTGGTTAGTAATCGAACTAACCACAGTATCTTTTTCGCTGAAACTACGTATTGCGCCATCTTTTTCAGTATGACCACCAGCGCACGAGCGAAATATTCTATTTTAGAGTCATGTCGAAGAGACGCTAATTTAAGGTTGCTTTCAAAGCTTAATTTGAACCATATCAAGTTTATTAAAAAAAACTTTCCTAATTAGAATTAATGTATCCGAAAACCAGTTGTGATGGAAACAATCATTTTTGCATTAAGGAAAGTTTTTTGACGAATCAGCATGTTTCCAGTTCTGATGCACGTTTGATTTGCGTGACGAATAAGGACAACAGAACTAGAGAATTTAGGAACTCAGATTTGTTTTTTGAAACTTTCAACTGTGTCGAATAAATTTCGCTTTCAATGAGAACTTGCTAATTATACCTTATTGTAGTTCCGGTTTCTAGAATAAGTGGTGTGCGTGGGTTGAAAAATTGTCAAGTGGTTATTTTTTTAAAATGCAGTCGAAACAGAATATTTTGCAAATGCAAGGTCAGTGAATGGTTTTGCCAAAGAAAGTTTCGTTGAGGGAACATTTAGTAAAGACACTCAGCCATACATTAACCCTGAAGCGGGTTGGACCCCACGAGGAGGTCAACTGACATTCATCTTCGCTGCCTAGTAATGATTTCTGTATATTTTTTGAGTTGAACACTTCCAAAGGAATGGAGACCGACTTAACCACCGAATTGATTAAAAATGATAAAATTTATATTGCTAGAATAAAACTGGGACATTGTGCCACAAACGAAGTTTCAGCCACGTCTAAGCAACGTATGATTTTGCAATCCTCTCATGAAATAACAATTCTGCGATCATCTTACCTGTAATATTCAGACGCCTTTGTCGTCCAGGCAAACTTGGCATACTGCGTTGTCTCAAGTGTGAACAGTGTGCTCTGTTTTGTGTTCAATGAAGCCACTTTTCTACTCGTAGCGCTATGATTTGGAGCAGAGTTCTTTCCTTTAACCCATTTTGCAGACGCGTGGTTCAAAGCAGTGATAGAATTTAGATACCTTCGTTTCAATGCACTACACGTCGCTCGGCATCGGCATTCTCTAAGTTACTGAACGAAGGGTACACCCTCTGATGGAGATTTGAAACTCAATGAGATTTAGTAATGAACTGTTTTTCAAGAATCGAAATGCCGCTAAAACACTAGCTTTGTGATTTCCTTTAACCGAAATAAATATAAGATATTCCATTGTCGAATACTTCATCATATTGCGTGGAACGGTTTAGGAGCTTTTTCTTTCTTCAGATTATCGCAATAAAATCTATTTTATCTTCACAAACACTTTTGTTCACAATGCCAACTTCGGCTATATGCTATAGCATGCTTTATTTACATCAACAGGTAGAAACGTTCTGCGTATTATGAGTCTATAATTTGTACTCCTTAAACATATGAGGCTAAGGGTTTGCCTAACTTTTCATATTTTTAGTCAATTAATAGTTAAGATTTAAATTATTTAAATTTGATATTCCACTCTGCGGAGGTACGATTGTCCGCTGGAAAGATTCCGTGGTGGTAGTCACTTCATATGTCCGCTGGTTGTCACGTGGCCGAGACTCAGTTCGATTTCTTAGCTGTGTTCCGCTGTCTGAAGTAGGTAATTGTTGAATCGTGTCTTCTCCGTATACGCTATAACAGAAACTTTGGCATTGTCGTTTTGCATTTGCTTTGTACCTGTAGGCAGGTTCCTTAGCGTGAACTCTTGGCAATCTAAACCAAGAGAAGAAGGGTGAAATTCTTTCCTGAGGCACCATAGTCTCTTCTACTTCAACCAAGCTGTACAGCTCTTGGAAGCACAGCACGTTGTGACACTAAAAAATACAAATTTAGACTTCGGTCCCAAAGAGAGATGAATCAAACAAGACATGAAAG